GTTTAGTTTTTATCTAATAAAAATTCATTTACTTCTCCAACTTTATCATCAAATTAATCAAAATTCATTAACCTACTGACTTCATTTTAATCTTTCTCTTGAGTTTTTAATGGTACATAGATGGACTTAACATTTTTTTCTGCTGCAACGTTCAACACTTTCCATTTTCTAATCTCAAGCAGTTGTATTACCGATTTTCCTCTCAAAAATTTAATATCATTCCCCACATTATCGAGTTACTCTTTCATTTGATTTATTTTACCCTCAACTCTTTATAAACCTTTTCTGATATGATTTAAAAAATCAGTTATCAGTCTGAGTTATTAGCCCATTTCGCTGATATTGTGAATGTATTCATCTAATTATGATGTCGTTTCATCCATTTCTTTCAGTTGTATGTCACGTTTATTGAGATTAGCCTCACGAGAAATTGATTCTTACAATTCATCAATTCTCTTCAGCATTTTTTACATTTCTCCTGCAATTCTATCATGTTAAGTCTACCAATCTTTCTACAAAATTTATATCTGTAAACTTATTAAGTTTTAATTTTTCAATAAACCTCTAACTCTTTAATCTTTTTCTAAAACCCATAATTAAATAAGAGCTTTCTAACAAAATGAATAAATTGTATCTGTGAAACTATTTGATGAAATATAAATTATTGTCAAAATTAGACCCTATTTAATTTTCCACTCCTCATTATTTTTAAAATCCTTATACTTTTGATTCAAAGACTAAAATAACCCTAAATGTTGATTTGATTCTACATTATCTATTTCTTCTTCTTCTTCTTCATTTTCCTAAAGGTAGATTTTCTTAATTTATTTAATCAGATATTCTTAACCAAACTAAATTTTTGAGATCACGCACTTAGACAAGATTAGTTTTTACTTTATTTCCCCCTTTAAATTATTGAGAAAATCACAAATATTTGTTTTTTATTCTAAATGATTATCATCTTTTTCATTTTTAACTTAAAAAATATCAATTTCTATTCTATTAAAGTAATCTTTAAAAGACTCTTTTTCAATTTATTATAAATTAGCTGTTGTCAATTACAATTACTCAAATAATTAAATTTGGTTTTAGAAATGATTATGAAATTAATTAAATGTATTTGTTTATATAGTTTTATTATATTTCTGAATGAGATGAAGTTTATTAGAGAATTTTTTAGTTTCTTCAAGTAATTAGTAAAATAACTGCTTTTCTTTTTTTATTTTTGATGATGATAATTTCAGAATAGTGATAATGGTTTCTAAATATTTTGCATGATTTTCATTGCGTTAAATCTGGGCATTTTTTGGATCACAATAATCAAATTTATATTCTTGAATGACTTATTTTTTAGTAACAAGAATTTAATCATTTTTATTTTATTAAGATTGATGGTCATTACTTAGTTTTGATTAATTTTTTTCATAAAATTCTATTATTTAATTTTTTAACTCCTTTAACAATTCACTAATTGGTATTTTAAAAATTTCTAAATTTTGATCTTAGGAATTTTTTAATAGCTCAACAACAATCTCAATATGACTGATTAATTATTTGAAATTTTCTATATTATTACAATTATTATTGTTCTCAAAAATTCTTAATTATTACCATATATTCTCATATTTTTCGATCTCAATATTCAATTCTGATTGATTAAATTGTTCATTAGTCACGGTTTTTATAGATTTGTCAATTAAAGCATTTTCTATTATTGTCATAATTCTTTCTGTTAGAGAAGAAGAACTAGGTTCTTCCTAAAATAATTCTCCGAATTCCTTATCAATTATTTCTAAATCTATTCTTTCTAAATTAATCATTTATTCTTCTAAATTTAAGATCAATATTATGTATTCTATCATTCCTTTTTATTTTGATAACTTATTTTAATAGTCTTGTTCAGTAATTTACATGCTTGTTAATTCAGCAATAGAGTATTTTGAAAAATTTTCATGGCGGCAAATTATTTTTTTAGGATAATTATTAATTACATTCACAAGAAACTCATCCAAATTGATAACTTTTTATAACTATTAAAATTCTTCTGATTGAACTGCTAATATATTTTAAAAAGACTCCTTGAAAGCAATTAATTGTAATTTAAACTTTAAATTGTTCAATCTTTAGTTGAATATAAATTAAAATGATAGCATATTAGAAAATTCTTATTTGATATTTTCAAATTCTTCAGTTTAAGAAACAGACTCAATTTCAAATTATAAAATTAGAATTTTCTTAAAACTTAAAATAAATTCATTAACATCTTTTTAAAGTTCTTCATTCTTGTGCTCATAAAAACAATTTAAGCTATGTAATAAACCCCGAAAGTATTCAATTACGTTGTTCTGTTGAAGTTATATAATTTCTAGATTTGAAATTTATTTTTAAGAATGCTCAATAAGTGTTAAAATGCTTTGAGCTTCTTTCAAAAAGTTCTTTTAGTTAAGAGTAGCAATTGGTAAGGCATGAAGCTTCTGCTAAAACTCATTGGCAAATTGGATATCTTTCAGATTTAGATTTTTTAATTCCTCCTAAATCAACTCTTTCTGTTACTAAAGCATATTAATTTCATCAGTTTCACAATTTTTTATGCAGAATGGATTTCTTTTATCTTTAATTTTCTAAATTGCTTATTATAAAATTTATTCTAATAATCTCATCAAATATTTAAGTTATTATAAATTATTCAATTCATTTATGTTCACCTATTTGAATTATTCAGCCTGACACTAATAATTATTCTAATTAAGCTTAAGAATTTTTAAAATATATTGTGTGTTTTGTAAATATTCTTCTAAGTTGCAAATTACCTTTTTGATTTAAGAATGAACAGTTCTTTGTAATAGTCTCATATTAACTTACTCATCTTCCAAAAGTTACTTCTAGATTTTAAATACTTCTCCCAAATTCTCATCATTTTATGTTATTAAATTAATTAATTTAGTTGAGATAATGAAACTTAAAAGCTTTTACATTTTCTCAATAGTCAAATTTTTTTCTTAGTTTTAGGAATCCTCTCTAAATACGCCTAATTTACATTTTAAATATGAACTGAATGTATATGGTGTATTTTCATTTTATTCATTCATTAAAACTTATTTAAGTATGAGAAAGTCTTCCCATCCTTTGAAACTGTCTTCTAACAATAATCTATCAAGTGATATTATTTTATTATTTTAGAGTTAATTAAGTAAGATAACAGCTAAATCATTACTTTGATTGATTTATAATAATAATCCTCTATTAATATAATCTTTCCAAATCTAACTTGTTGACTTTTCCCCAACATTTAAAGAGTTATTCAGCTCACCTAATTTTTTTTTTGCTAGTAGAGGATTAAAGACTAATATTTTACCAATCATTTAGATCCAGATAAAATGATCCCTCCAATTATTTGAAAATTGAACTATAGTTTCATATATTGCTTCAATTTGTAAAATTATTTCTTATAGATTTTTTTATTTTTTGTTTTTAAAATAACTTATTACTTCCCATTGCAACATATCGAGTTGATAAAAAACTTCATATTATTTTCTTTTTTTTGAAATATCTTACATTTTGTAAAGAAGGCAGGCTCCCTTAAATAATGATTCAAGTAACTCAGTATCTGGGCTCATTTTGATGAGAGAATTTATTATACCTTTTAGGGATCCTTATAATATTTCTTGTTTTTCTTTACTATTATTTGGAGCAATCTCAAAAGAAGTTTTGGTTAAGAAAATAAATAGTTCAATTTAATTTTAAATTAAATCATTCCTTTCAATCTCCAATTATTATTGTAATTCATCACAAATTTCCAGAAAATAATTTTAGGTTTCACATTTCATAAATCTCTCATCATTCATTAAATGGAAGCTAAATATTACTTTAGATAGGGATGTTGTAATCTATAAAATATACAAACATTTAAAGGAATCTGATCTGATATAGGTCTAGCAACTTATCAATAATCGTTTAATCCCATCTAAAACTAAATCGTATGTCTTCTTAACACTTTATACATTTTTACTGATTTTGTAGATGTTTTCCTCTTAAAATATAAACCATCTTATTGCTATCATTATTTCTGATGATTCCTATTAACTAGCAGCAACAGAAGCCTTAGATTCTATTATCTAAATATAGTGGTTGAATTATGAAAAGAAATCATAAACATCTGTTTGAATGGCATTCTTTTATGATTACTTACCAAAATTAGCTTTTGGCATTCCACAACCCCCTCCTCTTAGAATGAATGTTGATTTGTTGATTTTGTTGAACATCTTTATATTAATATTTCAACACTAGGATATAGCATGTATAAGAAATATTCAGGACCCCCTAAAGAAATTAATATTCCGTCATTATAACATTTATGTAAACTAATAAAAAAAGTGTAATATTCTAAGGCTTCAAATTTTTGGTTTCATACTAATTCTAATTGTATCAAAAGCAATTCTGTGGTTCCTATCATGGACTTTTTATGATCAGTTGATTGTGATTTATCTTACATTTAAACATGCTTTGAAATTTGTAATGCCATTGAAAACGAATAATTATAAGTTTACATAATCGCCACATCAATTACATGTAAGTAGTAAGTATTAATAATTAATCGTATAATTTCATTTCTGATGGGAGATGTAGATACATACTCATGGCTGTAAAAGGCATCTCTTGGTCCTAAACGCATGAACCAAAGATTTGTATTAAGAACAGTTCTAACTAATTTTTATATGAAATTCTTTTCAAAAGTTTCCTGAGAATTTATGCGAAACTACATAAATTGTTATTATCGAATCAAAGTTGGAAATGCGCAATTAATTTTGGTCGTGTTTTACTTTAGATTCCTAACATTTTCAAAAGTATTTAGCTAAAAAATTAAAAAGAAGAAGAAAGTAATTTATATAAACTAAAGAATTGTTCTTTTTACTTTTCATCTTATTAAATTCAATTATACCTATTCAATCTTAATGATGAAGAATTTATCTGAAAATAAATATTTAAATATAATATTTGAATCAAAAATAATATAATTGTTTATAAAAATTGATATCCNCATTCATTAAATGGAAGCTAAATATTACTTTAGATAGGGATGTTGTAATCTATAAAATATACAAACATTTAAAGGAATCTGATCTGATATAGGTCTAGCAACTTATCAATAATCGTTTAATCCCATCTAAAACTAAATCGTATGTCTTCTTAACACTTTATACATTTTTACTGATTTTGTAGATGTTTTCCTCTTAAAATATAAACCATCTTATTGCTATCATTATTTCTGATGATTCCTATTAACTAGCAGCAATAGAAGCCTTAGATTCTATTATCTAAATATAGTGATTGAATTATGAAAAGAAATCATAAACATCTGTTTGAATGGCATTCTTTTATGATTACTTACCAAAATTAGCTTTTGGCATTCCACAACCCCCTCCTCTTAGAATGAATGTTGATTTGTTGATTTTGTTGAGCATCTTTATATTAATATTTCAACAATAGGATATAGCATGCATAAGAAATATTCAGGACCCCCTAAAGAAATTAATATTCCGTCATTATAACATTTATGTAAACTAATAAAAAAAGTGTAATATTCTAAGGCTTCGAATTTTTGGTTTCATTACTAATTCTAATTGTATCAAAAGCAATTCTGTGGTTCCTATCATGGACTTTTTATGATCAGTTGATTGTGATTTATCTTACATTTAAACATGCTTTGAAATTTGTAATGCCATTGAAAACGAATAATTATAAGTTTACATAATCGCCACATCAATTACATCTAAGTAGTAATAATTAATCGTATAATTTCATTTCTGATGGGAGATGTAGATACATACTCATGGCTGTAAAAGGCATCTCTTGGTCCTAAACGCATGAACCAAACATTTGTATTAAGAACAGTTCTAACTAATTTTCATTTGAAAATCTTTTCAAAAGTTTCCTGAGAATTTATGCGAAACTACATAAATTGTTATTATTGAATCAAATTTGGAAATGCGCAATTAATTTTGGTAGTGTTTTACTTTTGATTCCTAACATTTTCAAAAGTATTTAACTAAAAAATTAAAAAGAAGAATAAAGTAATTTATATAAACTAAAGAATTGTTCTTTTTACTTTTCATCTTATTAAATTCAATTATACCTATTCAATCTTAATGATGAAGAATTTATCTGAAAATAAATATTTAAATATAATATTTGAATCAAAAATAATATAATTGTTTATAAAAATTGATATCCCAAATTTTCAATTGTACGTAGTTTAGTCAAATAATTTTTCTTAAGTTCAACCATGAATGTAGAGTTTCAAAATAATCAAAGTATAGATTTATGATCATTAATTAAATCTAAAGAAGCTATTGTATGAACTAAATCTTAACTTTGATTCAAAAAAAAGTTGTCACTAAATCCAATCATTATTTTGCAATTAGCTTTTGTAGAAAAATAGTTATTGATAAATGTGAATTGATATATATCTATCATACTGATTTAAAAAGATAATTTCTGAGAAAGAAAAATCTAATTTATGCAAAACTTATTTAAATCATATCTTTTAAAATTAACTACTCTCCTTTATTTCTTTTATCATATATTACGCCCTATTTTAATGTTTATTCCAAAACTAATTTTTCAGATTTTATTTCAAATGGCTAATGAATAAGTGTTTATATTGTAGCTTTTATTAACATCGATATCCACAATTTTTCTATAGTTATTCATAATTGAATCTACTAAAACCTAAATAATCTCTTAATTGAACTTTAAAGCTTTATAACTTTTTAATTAATCTTTCACTCATTTGCAAAACATTAAATAAAATCTTTTTTGAAAAAAAATAAGAAGCTCTTATTTGAAATTGGAAGTACATAATATGATTAGGATTAAATCGTGATTTAGAATAGATGAGAATTTAATATAGATTCATATTTTAAAAATAGTTTTGAGAAATTATTGATGATAAAATTAATTAATCATTCTAACTTAAATGAATTTTTTATTTTCAAGGGTAAAAATACATAGAATTATGATATTATTTATAAAATCTAAAAATTAAGAAGTATTTCACTTTAAAATTAATTAAGAAGTAAGAATAACAGGGATCATTTATAAAGGAAGAGAATCATTCCTTCAAAGAATCATTGCTTTGCTTAATATTAATGAATTTGTAGATAATTCATTAAAAGTGATTATCGTTAGATTCAATATGGTTTTTTTTAGATATTGGAGATATATATTTTTATAGAATGTACTGATAATCAACATAAAAAATAGACCTTATTAACAAAAAGAGAATAACAAGAAAATATAAGGCTTATGAATTGCATTTATTTCATTATTTATTATTTATAATATTCACTTCTTTTAAATAACTCCTTTCAAATAAATAAATCTAGAATAGATTTAAAACTTTTGAATCTCTGATTTATCTGTTTTAATACACAAATAATTGATTTATNTTGATATCCCAAATTTTCAATTGTACGTAGTTTAGTCAAATAATTTTTCTTAAGTTCAACCATGAATGTAGAGTTTCAAAATAATCAAAGTATAGATTTATGATCATTAATTAAATCTAAAGAAGCTATTGTATGAACTAAATCTTAACTTTGATTCAAAAAAAAGTTGTCACTAAATCCAATCATTATTTTGCAATTAGCTTTTGTAGAAAAATAGTTATTGATAAATGTGAATTGATATATATCTATCATACTGATTTAAAAAGATAATTTCTGAGAAAGAAAAATCTAATTTATGCAAAACTTATTTAAATCATATCTTTTAAAATTAACTACTCTCCTTTATTTCTTTTATCATATATTACGCCCTATTTTAATGTTTATTCCAAAACTAATTTTTCAGATTTTATTTCAAATGGCTAATGAATAAGTGTTTATATTGTAGCTTTTATTAACATCGATATCCACAATTTTTCTATAGTTATTCATAATTGAATCTACTAAAACCTAAATAATCTCTTAATTGAACTTTAAAGCTTTATAACTTTTTAATTAATCTTTCACTCATTTGCAAAACATTAAATAAAATCTTTTTTGAAAAAAAATAAGAAGCTCTTATTTGAAATTGGAAGTACATAATATGATTAGGATTAAATCGTGATTTAGAATAGATGAGAATTTAATATAGATTCATATTTTAAAAATAGTTTTGAGAAATTATTGATGATAAAATTAATTAATCATTCTAACTTAAATGAATTTTTTATTTTCAAGGGTAAAAATACATAGAATTATGATATTATTTATAAAATCTAAAAATTAAGAAGTATTTCACTTTAAAATTAATTAAGAAGTAAGAATAACAGGGATCATTTATAAAGGAAGAGAATCATTCCTTCAAAGAATCATTGCTTTGCTTAATATTAATGAATTTGTAGATAATTCATTAAAGTGATCATCGTTAGATTCATTATGGTTTTTTTAGATATTGGAGATATATATTTTTATAGAATGTACTGATAATCAACATAAAAAATAAACCTTATTAACAAAAAGAGAATAAAAAGAAAATATAAGGCTTATGAATTGCATTTATTTCATTATTTATTATTTATAATATTCACTTCTTTTAAATAACTCCTTTCAAATAAATAAATCTAGAATAGATTTAAAACTTTTGAATCTCTGATTTATCTGTTTTAATACACAAATAATTGATTTATAACATAAAATCTGTATTTCTTAATCATATTTTTATGGTTTTCTTATTAAGTATAACTCTAAATGATAATTTTCTAAACCTACTAAAAGGTTAGTACCGTCAGGGCATCTATTGACAGATATCATAGTCTTAACTCCCATTTAACCAATTAACTTAAATATTTTTACATCCCATAAAGCTATTAAACTTTCAGCTGTTTCCTATATTTATTGCCACAAACTAATAAATCGCCTTTTTATGATAAAGATAGAGCCCTTCGTTTCTATTAAACTCCTAACTTAATCCTTTTTGTAATCAGAATAATTTATTATTTCTTAAATTAATGCCATATTGAATTCATCTACAAATTTCTTTTTCATTTTAGTTTTTTTGTATTTCCAAAAAATTAGTAACAATTGTATCAATGCCAAATTAATATCTTCTTATTTTTCGACAATTTTTAATTTTGAACTTATGTAAATTCCTTTAATTGAACTAGATATATTCTCTATTTAAATTATGAAACCTTTACATTTTCACCTAAATACTTAATAAAGGTTGTGTGCTTTATTATATTAGCATTGTTTTGTTATTTATTTTTGATCAAATAAATTAATAAGAGCTTTTGAAGTTTTAATTATCTATTAATTCTCTACTATAATTTCGTAAATATCAATTCAAATTTCTTAGTCATTAGGTTTTGACTCTAAATCTATATCTATTTTGAAACTAAATTATAGCTCTAATTATTAAATTAAAGTAAAAAATTTTATGTATACAATTTTCAATGTCTCTAATAATTCTTTATTTGAATCTTAATCTTAAATATCAGTAGTTTGTTCTACTTAAGCCTGGATTTTATGTTTTATCTTATGAAATATTAATTATTTCATTCATCTAATTTAAGAAAATAATCAAACACACATAAAAATCACACAATAACTAATCCTTACATGAAAAATTGTGCATTTATTTACAGTTCAAAATAATATATTATATCTTCCCTAGTGAAAATTTGATATTTTCTAAAGTTCAATCTTAATGACTTAAATTTTTGATTTGATTATTTTATAATAAGTGTCAAAACTATCATTTATAAATTGAAATTTTTTCTTCAAATTAAGAATTTAAAACAGATGAAAAATTTTCTAACTTCCAGTTACAAATGAAAAATTCCTTTATATCTGTTTTTTGTAATATTGGATTTTTTATTTTCAATCATTAATAAAATTAATAAGATATTTTGCTTTTTTCCAAATATTCAAAGATTTTTTTAATATTTTTTTAAGTTCTTCAAAAACTTTTTAAGATAATGATGTTTTTTCTACTGAAGCCTGGTGAGATTTAAATATTCTTTTATTTTACTCTTTTTTTTTTAAACATATTGTCTAATAGAAAAACTTAAGGAAAATCACAATAGATATAATCAATCAACTATTTCAACTTATTTTAGTTATATTTCATTGATAATGCTGTTTATTATTTGAATAATAATTCATATACGTTCACTCTTATGAAATTAAATTCTTAAGAATCTTCTTATTCACTTCTAAAAGAATGAAAGTTAGGATAAGAATCCCATAAGTTTATTATTTTGAAATTATTGTTCCGCCTAGTTGAAAATAGAAGCTAATACTAACTGTATTTCTTTAAATTTGAATCTTCAAATTATATGGTATTGTATCAAATTAATAAAATTGCCTAGTTACAATTGAATGGTAATTATTAAATAGTAGTAACATTTTTTAACCTTCTTATAGTCTCAATTATCAATCTATATAAAATAATATCGGTTGTAGTCTAAATCCAACAGAAATGCAAAATCCAATTATTTGATTCTTTTGTATATTTGTTAAAGAAAGTTTTTTAATTTAAAATAAGTGATAAATTTGATATACTTTAATTGGATATAAAATTCAAGATTTGATTTTTTATTATATATTTAGCAGTTTTCTTAAGACTAGACATTAAACATTAGCTATATCCATTTAAAGAATTGATTTTTAAAGTATTATTAGCTCCATCAATCAATAATTTTTTTTCTTAAAGCATCATTTGATTAACTTTTTAATTGTTCATAGAAGACAGAAACTTGTTTTAAAAAAGATTTAGAGTCAAATCTTAATGTTGAATTGTGTGAATAAATAATTCTCGATATGTCATTGCAAACTTAAGCAATTTAATCCAAGAAACTTCTAAATAATGAAGTAGTGTTTCTAAGAGATTTCAAAAATTATTAATAATATCTATTTTAATTATTTCATAGTTTTCTTATTCAAGGCACAATTCATTGAAAATTATTTGTTATAATTAAGCCATTCGATTTTTATTATTAATTTGTTTTCTTCAGACTAACTAATTAAATTGCTAATCCTTCTTGAATAACAGAAACAGAGGACTTAAATTCTTCTAAAAAAATTTTTGCTGTAAAATATTCTATTTTCAAATTATTTTTGATTATTTTCATTTGTAAGAGTTATTTCCAAATGTTCTTGGAGCTATTCAGATCTACAAAAATTTGATAATCCATATCCTCCTGCATTTAATTGAGAAATCCATGGTTGATTTTCAAAGTCTGAAATATTTCTCAGGAAAAATCAGATATTTCTTCATATGTGGTATATTTTTAATGTACAATAGATGCCCATACAGAATATAAATCTATTAGTAGATGATCCTAAAATTAAATGTTATTATTTAATTAATGATTTTGATACCAAATCATTTAATGAAAAAGAAAAATATAATTCTTATATCTAAACTCAGGAGTAAATTGATAATCCTGTTAGGTTTATTGAGGATGAAGTTAATTAAAGAACTGAAATATTCGATAATAATTTATAGAGTAATATAGTCAGAAACTAACAGAGAATATAAATAATAATTTAAATTTGATTCTTTCAAAATTTTCAATCACACAAGATAAAACTATTGAAAAATTCAAAAGCTATCCAGTTCTTCATCTAAATAAAAAATCTTTAAGATGCTCCAAAGATTTCACATCAAATAGAAATAAAATATTTGGTAGGAAGTGTAAGTAATGAAGATTTAGATAATATATAGGATAAATTCAAGGACAGGTTTCAAATAATTTTATTGAATAGTAAATTTAAAAAATAAGATATATGTCGAACTAGGAGATGATATAGATGTAAATAAAGTTGTTCATAATCATTAATGAAGAAATGAGCATTTAATAAGAAGCATGGCTGTATTCTTGTAGATCAGAAGCCTTTTTTGTATTCATGCGAAGAGATTTAAAATAAATTCTATGTTTAGGATTTTAATCCAGATGATAGAATTTAAATCAAATAAATTAAGAATATTGGATATTCCATAGCAATATTATGATAAAAATGCTAATACTAAGTATAATGTAATATGGAATAATATTGATCAAATTATTAAAATAATCAATTTGGAAGGGATGGAAGAAGATTTACTTTTAATGAAAAACAAAGTGATTTTTTCGGAAAACTATCATTATGTTGTCTTATTAGATTATTCTGGATCTATGTCAGAAGATAGATTTAATCGAGCATAAATGAAATAATTTCATTTTTATCATCAGCATAATAGAATTAGAATATCGAGTTGCCATCATAATCTTCAACGATAAAGCTAGATGTGTGGTAGACTTTTAATATATAGACATGCAAACTATAAACAATGTAGTAGTATGTAATGGAGCAAGTACTAGCTTTTAAAGTGCCTTCTAAGTAGCTTATGAAAAAATCAGGCTGTAAGTAACTTTCATTAACATAATAGGTAAAACATTTAAATCAATCTAGGCATATAGGATTTTTTTTATACCGATGAAGATTCATATCCTACTTAGGCATTGGCGCAGTTCGCAAGAATGCCATTTTCATAGAGAATGAAAATAGATTTGATTTTTGTGGTCTTGATAAATAATAAAAGATAATGATCGACATTACTGATTTCTTCAACATAAATAGCTTTTTTGGGAAATTGCAAGAATCAATGTAGCCTTCATAAATAGGAGAAACCTGGATTAAGTAATAATAGACAATTATTATAAATATTATATCAAAACATAGAAGATTTATAATTTGTAATGAATAAACTCTTCAGAAAAAAATATAAAATTTCTAGAATTTCTTTATTACATTTATTTATTTTGCAAATTTTTTATTTAGAACAATCATTTAAATTAAAAACAAACCGCTTTTTATTACTTTTCTTCTTTTTTCTATTTTATATAAATTTGATTCCACAATTTGAATGTTTTACAAAGATCTTTATGTATATTCCAGTTTGATATTATTTAAAAAACATTACTATTATATCTATAACAACTTAATTAATATTGATAATAAAATTTATTTAATGTATTAAAAAGATATCTAAATAAATTCATAATTTTAATATAAATTCAAATAATTACTTTATTTAATCTATGATCTGTAATTCAAAGGATTCTTTGCAAACAAAATTTCAAATTAAATAAAAAAAAATAATCCTATAACAAGTTCCATAGTCTACAAGTGCAAGCGTGTAAATAAATCAAAATTAAAATAATCTCATTAATTTGCTTAAAACTTAATAGCAATTTATAAATCAATTAAACAAAACAAAATATAGGAAAAATAAAATTAAAGTCAATTCAATTAAAAAAACTAGAATATAAAAATAATGAGCAATTAGAAAATGTTTTGAATGATGACAAATTCGTTTGCTTTTGATTAGATGGCTTATTTGAAAATGTTGAAAAGTAATTGGGAACGATTGGAATACAGTATATCAATATAAGTTGTATTTAATTAATATCAATATGTATTCCTAAAATTATTGTCTTTTTAACACTATTTATGATTAACTAAATTAAACTTAATGATGAATCCTTAAAAGACAATAATTATTTTTATTTTCAACTCAACATCTTTAAAATATTTCCTTTTGCTCATATTCCTTAAGACTCATAAAGTACAAAAATACTATATACTTTAGGTTTTTTTATAACATTCATATGCATATGAATGGTGATCAGTTATATTAATATGGAAACTTCATCCCAAATTATCTATTAGATTTTTAAAGAATAAACTGCTACTTTCAATAGACATTGATTCACAACCATCTAAGCATAAATTAAAAAACACAAATTAAGGAAAAATGCTCAGAAAAGTTCACAAATCCTTATAAAATGAACAATTGAAATACCTACTACTTTTGACAACTATTTATCTACCATTTCTAAAAAACCAGAAACAATAATAATTTTGAGCAAAAAGAAAAAACTCTAAGACATCCACAGTTTAAGGAATTGGTTAAAGAAGAATAAGTAAAATAATAAAAATATTAACAAAATTTGAATGATTATAATTAGTATTACAAGAATAATATGAAAATGGGATCAAAGGATCTCAATTTTGAATCGAGGTAACTAGCTTTCAAAGGAAATAAATTTTATTGAATCTATTTCATGTGTTTCCAATATTTCATTTGCCAAAATTGAAATGGATTCTCCTTCTGTAATTGGTGTTTGGAAATTAAGTAATTGAATTGACTTCTAACAACTTCATTAAAATTTAATAATTACTGAATATTAGTATTGATAAAATTATATCTTTCTCATTTCTTTAAATGAAGATGAGCATAAATGATAATTATAAGATACTAAATAAAAAAACAAAAGAGACTTTTGATCAATGATTGGTTATAAAATAATGAAAGCCAGTTGATAAAAGGTAAAGTCTATAATCCTAGTAATCAAAATAAGAGCTACTATAAGTGTCAATTAATCATCATTAAAAATCTTTTATTTTAAATCTATGAAATCTAATATAATAGTTAGATCATTTCACAGTTATAATTGAAAAAATTGTTTAGAAATGAAATAATAAATAGAATTATGTATCATCATCTATTATATGTAATTCTGAAAAAAGTATATATTCGTTTCTTTGGAAACTATGGTATAATTTATGAAAATATTTTAAATTAATTAATTAAATTCCATTTTTTTGAATATTTAACTTATTTTATCTTCATTATAATCTGCATTTCATGCATACAAATACCATTTCTTAGATTCTTCCTTTTCTTTAAATAAAATAAAAATAAAGTGATTTATAGTATCATTAGTGTCTCAGCTAAAGTAGCAAATATTTGATACCTTTATTCTTCATGTCTAAAGCATTTACAGGTGTGTTGCCTTATTTACCTTTTAATAAAATGAGCCAATTTACCTTTATGAGAAATTGAGTAGCTAACATTTTAATTCATTTTAATCGCCTGATCGTAGCCGTCTATAGCTTTTTATTAACGAGACAACTAGAATAAGGCATTACCTAAGTTAAATGTAAAATTGAAGAATTAATATATCCTTATTATAAAAGGCGTCACGATATTTTGGATCGATTTTAATTGCTTGATCATTGCATTATATTGCATCTTAATAACAATTCAAGTTATATAATGCTATTCTTATTGATAGTTTACTTTTTAATTCATATGCCGTTATTATAAAATGATTCACTATCATTTGAATTTATATCAATTTTTTGCCCATACTATTAAATAACAATCCAAATTGAATATGTTAAACCATCCTGATATATCTTATATAAAGCATTACCTAATTATAGTATTTAATTACCCTTATTATAAAATGCTGTATTATAATATGGATTGATTTTAATGGCTTAATCATAACATTCTATAGAATTGTTATAACGATTCAAATTCCCTTCTAAAATAAAATTTAATAATATTAGCTCTATGCCTACAGTTCATATTACTTATTTTACCCTTTAAGTTATACAATTTGCAATCGTATTATATGAATTATCAATAGCATTTATCAAATATATTTTCCCTTTTTATTTTATTCCACTAATTACTTTTCTAAAAATGTATGATGCAGCTAGAATTAGTTCATTTATCTATTATTAGTTAGGTGTAATTTACATCGAACAATCTTGCTTTTATAAAATCATAATTTCTTTCATAAAAAGGTTAAATTTATTATTTTTAATATATTATCATCTACAATTACTAAATTAATCAAGAAAGGAATAAAGGGACGATAACCTATTGTATTTTAATAATTAAATTATTCCAAGAATTTTTTATTTCAATTCATTATATGAATTTTTCTTATTCTTTAAAAGCTTTCATTATTTTTCCAGTTCAATTAGAAATAATCCCTGATATTTAATGGGGAAGTTGTCTTCTTTCTTTTCTTTCTCATTTGCATAGAGGTTCTTAATATATAGTATTTATTATAGGAAAGAATTGTATGACTGTCTTTCAACTTTTGATCCATTTCTCCTAATATTAAAATATCTGATTCAAACTTTTTGGAGATAGTATTAAATGCTTGCATAAAATAATGCCTAATATCTTGATAAATGGTAAATTGCTCATTTTAAGTTTGAATTAATTGGTCAATCAAATTTTACAATTATTAACATCGTATGCAGCCATCACGAAGATATTAATGAACTTTTTGAAAACATCATAAGCAGAATTAAAATGGTTTTGAGCAATTCTTATACATACAAAATCCTATAATTCGTTCATTTTCATGTTCTTCATAAAATCACTTGAATCCAACTCCATATTTGTACAATTAATTAATCAAATTTTTTAAAATTAATAATAAATATTAAAACCCATATTAGTAATCAATTATAAAATTTTGGATACTCTTGATTTTTAAAAGGATAAAAATTGCACATTAATTTAGCATTGTCATTAAAGTAAAGTATGTCTGAGAGGCATATTAAATGACAATTCTTAATTTAGTTAAGTTAATTTTAGTTTCTTCTTAAATCATAAAATATTTATAATAAATTTTCATTTTCCTCTAATATTAAAGAAAGTTCATAAGTGTATTTAAATGCTCATAACTAATAACTATTTAGATAAGCAAGGCAAACTTAAAACTAAGATATTAGAGATTATGAATTCTATGAGATTTAAACATTTAATGAAAATGAGGCAATCAAATATAATCATATCATAAGATATCTTGGTAAAAGTTCTGATAACTATTATAGATGTATAGTTATGATTAATAACACTTAAATTTTTTTTATAACTCATTTTCTAATATTTATGAAGCTGGTGATTTTAAAGATATAAAATTAGAATTCACTTGTAAAATTATCCTATTTAGTTAAATTTGACCTATAATTTACAAAACTAGGCCATAACTGCTTCATTGTTTAAAATAGAAAGATTTGATAAAACAAGAATAAAACTATTATGCTGTTTAAATCTGGCTAGTCAATATAGTATATAATGGATTTAGTAATTTATGTGTTATATGTAAATTTTAGAAAAGCTTAAGTCTTCCATTAATTAATGCCTCTCGAAATATCAGAATTCTTAATACTAATTTCTATGCTTATAAAAAATACTTTAATTCTTTCATTAATTTATTCTTAATTTAATTAATAATTTAGAAATTATTTTTATTTTTCATCTAAACTAAAAGAAAAATATTGGGTTTTATAAGTAAATAACAATTTTTGAAATCATTAGAATTAAACAATAAAATCTTTAATCTGTTCTTAAATTACTAAAAATTAAAAAGTTAATTAAAATTTTCTAATTTTGATTGATATATATTATTTTTTAATTTTTACATTCTTAAATATATAATCAATCAATATGATTTAAACTATTAAATCATTATTGCTATATCNCCCATATTAGTAATCAATTATAAAATTTTGGATACTCTTGATTTTTAAAAGGATAAAAATTGCACATTAATTTAGCATTGTCATTAAAGTAAAGTATGTCTGAGAGGCATATTAAATGACAATTCTTAATTTAGTTAAGTTAATTTTAGTTTCTTCTTAAATCATAAAATATTTATAATAAATTTTCATTTTCCTCTAATATTAAAGAAAGTTCATAAGTGTATTTAAATGCTCATAACTAATAACTATTTAGATAAGCAAGGCAAACTTAAAACTAAGATATTAGAGATTATGAATTCTATGAGATTTAAACATTTAATGAAAATGAGGCAATCAAATATAATCATATCATAAGATATCTTGGTAAAAGTTCTGATAACTATTATAGATGTATAGTTATGATTAATAACACTTAAATTTTTTTTATAACTCATTTTCTAATATTTATGAAGCTGGTGATTTTAAAGATATAAAATTAGAATTCACTTGTAAAATTATCCTATTTAGTTAAATTTGACCTATAATTTACAAAACTAGGCCATAACTGCTTCATTGTTTAAAATAGAAAGATTTGATAAAACAAGAATAAAACTATTATGCTGTTTAAATCTGGCTAGTCAATATAGTATATAATGGATTTAGTAATTTATGTGTTATATGTAAATTTTAGAAAAGCTTAAGTCTTCCATTAATTAATGCCTCTCGAAATATCAGAATTCTTAATACTAATTTCTATGCTTATAAAAAATACTTTAATTCTTTCATTAATTTATTCTTAATTTAATTAATAATTTAGAAATTATTTTTATTTTTCATCTAAACTAAAAGAAAAATATTGGGTTTTATAAGTAAATAACAATTTTTGAAATCATTAGAATTAAACAATAAAATCTTTAATCTGTTCTTAAATTACTAAAAATTAAAAAGTTAATTAAAATTTTCTAATTTTGATTGATATATATTATTTTTTAATTTTTACATTCTTAAATATATAATCAATCAATATGATTTAAACTATTAAATCATTATTGCTATATCAAACTCATACATTACTTTTTAAGTATTTGGATCTATATTATTTATTTACTTTTTATGCAATTAATTATCCAAATCATTAACCTTTTAAAATCAAATAAGTAATAGCTCCCTTCTCTTCTAAAATAGTAATGTATAAGGTTTATTAATCATCAACTTTTCATTCATCAGAAAATTTCAGAATAGAGTGGTATTACAATGGTATGAACTGATAATAATAAAAATTTCTAAAATAACTTTAAAGATATTTTTAATTTCAATCCAACCATAATTTGCCTGCATCTAGAAATAATTTAAATACAATAAATATCTAAATTACAAAAACGAATGATATGCCAGATTTTTAGTGAGGTTTCACTTTCTTAATTATTTATGAATAATCTTGAATTTAATTATTGAAATCGTTTTTTCCATCTTTTATAAACATCAATTTTATTTATTCTTTAGATTTAATTTCAAATAAAATTAGTGGAGATTTGCCATCTAAAACTATAGAATATGGTTGCGAATATAAAATAAGCTTAGTTCATTCAAATTTCTTGATTTAATAGCAGAAATTAATATAAAGCATTTGCATCATCCAACTGGTAACATCACTTAGAACTATGCTATTTGATGGTTGAATCTTCTATAACCTAAATTATAATTCATCTAAATATACGTACTTGAAGTTTTGGAAAAAAAATACGATTACATTTATTCGTTTTGATTAAGCTTAAAATATTTTTTCAAGGTTGACTCTTTAAAAAGTAATAGTAGATTAGATCTATTTCTAAAAGGATGCATACTAAATACATCAATCCCTTTTTCACCTTATATATACATTTTCAACAAATTCTCAAAAAAATAACTACTAATTAGGTCTCCTTTTTTAAAAATATATCATTTTAATCAATAAATATTTTATTTGGAAGAGCTAGAATAGAAGAATTAAAATAAGTTTTAATCAAATTCTTGATTTTCTTGAGATTATAATAGTTTAAAATTCAGATTCATTTTTGTTGAGGACGATCAGCATAAGATTACAGCATAATGTTACCTTAATGATTTCTGGAGAAGAAAAAATTGTGACATATTTCATAGGTTTGGATAGGAAGAGTTACAAAATATTTCTTAGATTCATTAATACTATGAATATAGTTTCTTGAATTTAAATCAAGACTTTATTTTAATCATTTGATAAGAAAAAATTTCTTTTTAAATTTTTAAGAATGAAATTTCAATATTGAAAATATTTTACAATTATTCTATATATTTGATATTTAATAAAAAAACGCAGATATAATTGTTATGATATTGATGTATCAATTCCTATAATATATTGGATATTTACAAATTTTGTTTATGTAGTATTATATTTAGTCCATTAAATACATTTATTCATAAATTACTTCAATTATTATTAAAATGAAAAAAATGCTATGCAATAGATTTGAATAACAGTGGATCTAAACATAATTTTGAGTTTAAATTAGGGTGTTGAATAATGGAAAATTAAATTTTGAATCATTGCTGCAAGCGCATACTATTAATATCTATTGCTTTTTTTATAGTAATCTACAATTGCCCTAACCTAAGAATTCCTCTAATAATTCTATAATTTTCTTTTCTAAGCTCTAAAATGTAAAAATGCTAATAAAAAAAAATTCTAATAAGCATTTTTTTAACAAATAGTTTTGAAGGATTTTTTATTTTATTCTAACATAAACTATTGTACATGTATTCGAAACACATTGCTATAAAATTAGTCAAAAAAATGTAATGGACGGAAAATCCTTTAAAATAAGATTGGAATGTTAAGAGAATTCTCATTTAAAAAATTTAATAACAAATAATTCTTTAATCTTTGGGCGAAGCTAGTCATCTATTAATAAATAAATGTGGCTACACATTTAATTTATGGTATATACATCATAGAAAATGAACAATACTAGACTAAAATAATTCATCATCTTTCATTAAGGATATTTTTGATGAGTATCATGTTTTCAATTAATATTTACATAATTATTTTAATTATATTTATTCTTCGAATTGCTGATCAATACTATAAGTGAGCAAATTTTGGGAAATTCTTAAGCTGAGATGTATTATTAATATAAATCATAGTTTTCATCAATTTTATTATCCTGGTTCTTTCTTGATAAATTACCGATGATTAGAAAATTTAAGCATTTCAAATCAATAAATGATTTAATTATGAAGAAACACTCTTCATCAGAACTGCCAATTTGATTTCAGTCGGTGAATTAGTTTAATGATTTTTAGTTTTTTAGAAAATGAAAGTGCCTCATTTTTAGAATAGAGATTTTTTTACTAAATATAATCATAACAAGGAACAATTTCTAAATTAATTCCTATTCTTATGCGTTTTGTGAGAAAAGAATGCTAATTAGGATTTTTTGAATCAAAAAATTCAAGGATTAAATTATGAAATGACCTTCATGAGGATTTCTAATCTTTAGCTTCACAATATTATAAGAATGATATTTGATTAGTGAAATAAAACTATCAAATATATTGATATCATTTAGTATCATAATTTATCATGCTAAGAAGAAAATATTAATGTGGGCTTTATTCAACGAATGCTAAATCATTTATCTATTAAAGATTTCAAATATATTCAATATGATGAAAAGAAATAAATAAAAAACGATTGAGGAACTCATAAATTGTTTTAAAGCTGCAAATAAACCAGTCATTGCAAATTTTTAACTTTAAAAACCTTTTAAAATGGCTTATAATAGTATAAATAAAGTTATCTTGATGATTTGTCTGATATTTTTCTAAAGAAATGCAAAAATATTAAATTGGTTTAAACATATTGGACTAATTGAACTATTAAAACGAATTAACACTGTTTTTAAGCTAAAAAATCCCACTGAATAAAGCTTTTTCTCAGCTTCTACTAGGTATTAATTTCGACCAACCCAATTCTTTGCCCATTTTCTAAATTGCTAGAATTCATTTTTCTACCTAAAATAAAAAAATATTTAATAAACTCATTACCTAGAAATAAAAAAGATTTATTCCCTACTCATCTATTTAAATTATTATTATTAATTTATTAAATCTCATTAATAATTAAACTAATAAAAGTAAAATAAATGGCATTTTTATTGATTTTAGCTATGCTTTTGATACTGTAAATAGAAATAGGCTTTAGAGATAGTAGAGGAAAAATAAATTTTATATCAATGAGAGTTGAATTTCTTAAGAAAACTTCATTCTTACTTTCATTTCATCTACAATTAGACAAAGAAAGATATTATTTTGTCAATTGAGTCCTTCAGGGATTTTCTTTCTCCCCTAATCTATTCAAAAAATAAATTGACTTATCCTGATTTAGCATAATCACTCTGACTCTCTATATTGGCCTTCTATTATCTTCATTTAATATACATATAGACTAATAGATTTATCACTTCTACCAAAAGCTAATATCCTACTATCATTAGAGAAGCAGATTGACATTAACCAATTTTAATTACCATATAGTTTGGATTTCTATTATCCTGATATACTAGATGAGTCTGTATTTTAGTCAGGAATAAAACAGATAGATCTAACATAATCATTTCAAGCATCTATTATGGCTTTTATCTAACTGATTTAGCATTACAGAGGTAGATAGATTAATCTATATTATCAAAGTTTATGTATTTCTATCAGATGAGAAACAGATTGAATTTACCCTATTATCGTGACCATTTAACTTGGTTCGATTAGACTTTTTTCGAATGATCCCAATTATCAAAAGCTTCTATATTTCTCTAACAGATTCACATTAACCAATTTTCATGGCCATTTAAATTAGCTTTCTATTTTTCTGTTTTAACATCCCTTAAATTGATTGACTTATCTTAACTACTCCAAGCTCATGTATTTGTATTTTTAGAAATATTATCCTATTCTTATGAATTTCTTACTTTATTTTCCACCCATTTTAAACATTCTTGAAGTTGTTGGCCAGTCATTAGAGACTACCTATAAGCTTAAAATCCTTATAGCTGTCCTTTAATGATCTTCTATGACATCAAGAACAATCCAATAGCTCATTATTAGCTCTAAAATTCAAAGCTCATTATTAGCTCTAAAATTCAAAGCTCATAAAATAGGTCTAACTTGATAAGCCTTACTATTCATATTTATTAATACTAATTAGAAAAGATCAACTCTTGTTAACTTTAAACTCTTTTACTCAATATTTCACTTATTCAAGTGTTAAAGTCATGCCTTTTACGTATTTTAAGGGGAGAATAAGATTTTTCTTAGACATATTCCAATCTTTTAAATTGTTAATTATACTTAAACAGAGATGAACAAGAAGAATGAATGAATGAATCAATCAATCATATAACTCAAATTTAGTATAAATTCAAATATTCAAATAACAATAAAGAGATTCTATATTATTAAAATATCAAGTGTTGCAAATGTTGAATTTCAATAGCATATTTACCTCAATTATTATCAATTCCATATCAACACAAAATTTGAATTTTAATTTAAAAATTACATAAGATATTTTATTGATTTTGCAGTATATAAATTAAAGTTAGAGTATTAGAAATCATTATTAAATATAAAAAAGAAAATGCAGGACTCTTTTTAAGAGAAGGAAGCTCTAACAGAAATTTTTGATTTAATAAAAGATGTAGATATACAACTTTTTGGGGTCATATTAGATATATTAAGAAAGGAAAAAGTTTAAGATTGCATTGGATTTCTATCAGATATTGGGAATCAGAGACAACTAGAATCATAAATTTTATAAAAAGTAGGGAATTCCACCCAAGCTGATCCAGAATCGAAATTTTCTGTTATTAGAAATTACTTAAAATAAATTACATATGTCTTAAAAAAATTAAAAGACCATGACTTCAATTATAAAGATTTTTCCTCTGAAGAAAATGAAGAATCTACATTAAGTCTGATTAATAGCTTCAAGGATAATAAATAGATTATAGAATTTCTGTAATTTTTAGTTCACCTCACATCTATAGATGACACCATAATATAATGTGGGTCTAATTCATTACATATATTAATTTTAATGAAAGCAGATCTTAGACACAAAAATTTTGAAAAAATAAAAATCTAAAATACTTCTTTAGTAGGAGCTAATTTTGTTAAGTGTAATATTAGTGAATCCTAATTTAATAATGTCAACATAAGTGGAATAAATTTAAATGGGGCATTATTATTTAATTGTAAATGGAAAGATTTAAAAATCACGGAATTAAATAAACTTAATGGTCATACCAGTTCAATCAAATCAATTTGTTTTTCTCCTGATGGAAAAACATTAGCTTCTAGTAATAAGGATTAGTCTATCCGTCTTTGGGATGTCAAAACAGGATAATAGAAAGCCATGTTAGATTGTCATAGTGACAGAGTATTGTCTGTCTGTTTTTCTCCTGATGGAAATACATTAGCATTTGGGGTTAGAGATTGCTCTGTTAGACTTTGGGATGTGAAGACTAAAAAAAAATGTGCCAAATTAATTGGTCATAAAAATTGGGTCGACTCAATTTGTTTCTCTCCTGATGGAAATACATTAGCAACTGGTAGTTATGATAAATCTGTCCGTTTATGGGATATCAAAACAGGATAATAAAAAGCTTAATTTAATAATCATACATTGAGGGTAAACTCAGTCTGTTTCTCTCCTGATGGAAAGACATTAGCATCTGGTAGTGATGATATGTCTATCCGTCTTTGGGATGTCAAAACAGGATAATAAAAAGCCAAATTAGATGGTCACAGTGATTGTGTTAGATCTGTCTGTTTCTCTCCTGATGGAAAGACATTAGCTTCTGGTAGTAATGATAAGTCTATCCGTTTATGGGATATCAAAACAGGATAATAAAAAGCCAAATTTAATGGTCATAGTAGTTTTGTTAGATCTGTCTGTTTCTCTTCTGACGGAAGGATATTGATATCTGGTAGTAAAGACAACTCTATTCGTGAATGGGATGTCAATACAGGGTATTAAAAAGCCAAATTAGATTGTCATAAAGATACTGTTAAATCTGTCTGTTTCTCACCTGATGGAAATACATTAGCTTATGGTAGTTAAGATAACTCTATTTGTCTATGGGATGTCAAAAGAGAATAATAGAAAGCCAAATTAGATGGTCATATTAGGAGTGTCTACTCAGTCTGTTTCTCACCTGATGGAAATACATTAACTTCTGGTAGTGATGATGGCACTATCCGTCTATGGGATGTCAAAACTGGATAATAAAAAGCAAAATTCTATAGTCATACTAGCACGGTTAACTCAGTCTGTTTCTCTCCAGATGGAAATACATTAACTTCTGGTAGTGATGATGGCACTATCTATCTATGGGATGTCAAAACTGGACAATAAAAAACCAAATTAAATGGTCATACTAGTGCAATTATGTCAGTCTGTTTCTCATCTGATGGAAATACATTTGCTTCTAGTAGTCAGGATAAGTCTATCCGTCTATGGGATGTCAAAACAGGTTAATAAAAAGCCAAATTAGATGGTCATACTAATTGGGTCTACTCAGTTTGTTTCTCCCCTGATGGACATATGTTAGCTTCTGGTAGTAATGATAACTCTATCCGTCTTTGGGATGTCAATACAGGATAATAAAAAGCAAAATTGTATATTCATACTAGCACTGTTAACTCAGTCTGTTTCTCTCCAGATGGAAATACATTAGCTTCTGGTAGTGGTGATAAGTCAATTCGTCTATGGAATGTCAAAACAGGTTAATAGAAAGCCATATTGGATAGTCATGATGATTGTATCAACTCAGTTTGTTTCTCTCCTGATGGAAATACATTAGCTTCTGGTAGTGATGATAGCTCCATCCGTCTATGGGATGTCAAAACTGGATAATAAAAAACCAAATTAAATGGTCATAGTGGAGCTGTCTACTCAGTTTGTTTCTCCCCTGATGGAAATACATTAGCTTCTGGTAGTGATGATAGCTCTATCCGTCTATGCGATGTCAAAGCTGGATAATAAAAAGCCAAATTAGATGGTCATACTCATTATGTAATGTCAGTCTGTTTTTCTCCTGATGGAAATATATTAGCATCTGATAATGATGATAAATCTATCCGACTTTGGGATATTAAAACAGGATAAGAAATTCAATCCTCCGATAAAAATTACAAAGATATTTTTATATAATTTAAGATTCCACTCCAATACAATAGTCCTATTTTAGAAGGTAGTTTTTAAGTTTTTCATATTTTTAGTTTCCAATTACATTACCACACTTCTTATTTCCCAAAAGGCAATATTCTAATCTAAAGGAGCTTTAATACTGAAAGGAGAATTTTTTAATCAATCAGGTATTGATTTAAAGACATTATTTGAACAGAAAGGAAGTCGCATTATAGAACGATTTTAGTAATAGTGAATTTGATAATTTATCTACAGCAATACAATTATATTTACAATCAATATCTAATATTTTTAATTATGTCTTTTTAAGATCAACTCTTGATCTTCATTTCTTAAGATAAATCTGTACATATTTAAGTAATTATTCTATTTTTATTAAATATATACTTTATTTATATAAATATTATTAAAATATATGGTCAGCTTANTAATAAAAAGCCAAATTAGATGGTCATACTAATTGGGTCTACTCAGTTTGTTTCTCCCCTGATGGACATATGTTAGCTTCTGGTAGTAATGATAACTCTATCCGTCTTTGGGATGTCAATACAGGATAATAAAAAGCAAAATTGTATATTCATACTAGCACTGTTAACTCAGTCTGTTTCTCTCCAGATGGAAATACATTAGCTTCTGGTAGTGGTGATAAGTCAATTCGTCTATGGAATGTCAAAACAGGTTAATAGAAAGCCATATTGGATAGTCATGATGATTGTATCAACTCAGTTTGTTTCTCTCCTGATGGAAATACATTAGCTTCTGGTAGTGATGATAGCTCCATCCGTCTATGGGATGTCAAAACTGGATAATAAAAAACCAAATTAAATGGTCATAGTGGAGCTGTCTACTCAGTTTGTTTCTCCCCTGATGGAAATACATTAGCTTCTGGTAGTGATGATAGCTCTATCCGTCTATGCGATGTCAAAGCTGGATAATAAAAAGCCAAATTAGATGGTCATACTCATTATGTAATGTCAGTCTGTTTTTCTCCTGATGGAAATATATTAGCATCTGATAATGATGATAAATCTATCCGACTTTGGGATATTAAAACAGGATAAGAAATTCAATCCTCCGATAAAAATTACAAAGATATTTTTATATAATTTAAGATTCCACTCCAATACAATAGTCCTATTTTAGAAGGTAGTTTTTAAGTTTTTCATATTTTTAGTTTCCAATTACATTACCACACTTCTTATTTCCCAAAAGGCAATATTCTAATCTAAAGGAGCTTTAATACTGAAAGGAGAATTTTTTAATCAATCAGGTATTGATTTAAAGACATTATTTGAACAGAAAGGAAGTCGCATTATAGAACGATTTTAGTAATAGTGAATTTGATAATTTATCTACAGCAATACAATTATATTTACAATCAATATCTAATATTTTTAATTATGTCTTTTTAAGATCAACTCTTGATCTTCATTTCTTAAGATAAATCTGTACATATTTAAGTAATTATTCTATTTTTATTAAATATATACTTTATTTATATAAATATTATTAAAATATATGGTCAGCTTAGTGTAGGGATTATTTATGGAAATGTTCAAAAAACTGTTATCAATTAATATTTATAGAGATTTAAATTTAAATAATGCTACATTAAATAAATACTCTATAGATATTTTAAAGGACAAACTGAGCACATTAAAGAAGCTATTTTAAGTAAATTAACACAAATCCATTCTTTTTAAATAATATAGGATATTATATGATAGATTTACTAAATTTATTCTTATTTATAAGATTATAAATAGTAAAAGATATATTTAATAACAAAGATAATAAAAAAGATATGTCAAGAATTAAAAAAATAACTTAAATTCTATTATTTATTCAAACTTAAAAAGTTTAAACAATGAGATTGAATGATTTTTCCAAAGTACTCTTTTCAAAGTAAAGTATCGATAACTATTTATCATTATTTGTTAATTGATATCAAAATTATTAGATATTATAAAGACTGAAAAGATATATTAATCATCAAGAAGAAGGATATTATTGAAATGATTAAGATTTAAGGAAATAATTTATCTTCCCTAACAACGATCTAATAATCTTAATTACTGATTAATTTAAGCTCTAATTGAATCCTTAAATACATACAAAGGGGCAACTTTCAAAACTATTTTTCAATATCTATAAAAAGTAAACATTTTTTAATCGCTGAGATAAGGTATAATCACTTTTACCTTCTAGATAATTTTAACAAAATTAACAGTTCTAATTATTTTGTCATTAGGATTGTCTGTTTAAACAAAATTAGATGTCAGAAAGTAGATGAATTAAAAAATGGAAAACTGTCTAAATTTGTTTTAACATTCACATAATTATCAACTGCTAGAAAGACCTTTAGGTTATATAACCGATTCAATTTTTAATTGATTTAGATTTTGCTGCTTCAAATTTGAGTGAGGATTTGAAAAAAATGCAAGAAAAAGTATCCTAAGACTTATTTTAAAGATCAGCATAACATAAAAAATAATTTATGATTTAGAGGTTTTGCTCGGAAATGTTTAAATAGAGATTAGTAACAGCATTAACCTTGTGGAAAATGTACTTAAAAAAAATTAACTTGTATCTGTTATCATACATGAAATAGGTCTAATTTAATAACAAGTAATCATCCTTACAAGACTTCATGAGTTAAAATTGGGTGGTCATTCAAAGGGAAGATTTGATGCTTTAAACTAACAGCAAATAATATGAGGAAAGAGTACGTGGAATCTTAGAATTTTGTAGTGACTGATCATTAGACAGCATTGAATATTTTAGAAAGAGCATTGGCCATTATATAAAAGTTCATTTCAAGAGAATAGGATATTAATTTAAGAGTAATTATTGTTGAATGTACTTAGGACCCAGCTTAAAGAGATTCTTAAGAACTTTCACAATGCTTGAATAAGAGGTATGAAAATTATCTTTAGGTAACCGCTTTAATAGAGAGCAACTTTTGAAAATATGAAACAGATAAGGCAGAAGATTCTAAAAGTGATATAGGAGTCTATCAATATATTGAAGACTTATTTCATGATCCTTGTATGAGAAAAGAAAGGCTTAATTAGAAAAAGTACACTTAATTTTCTAATAATAAATTGAAGACAATATAGTCTCTAGAAATACAAATTTATGTAATTTGATTGTTTAGTTATTAATTAGAAAAGATAAAAGTGGATAATGACTTTTTAGATATGAAAAGAGAGGATGTTAAAAGGTATGCTCAAAAAAGACAAGATTAGAATGAAACATTTGCCTATTAGTTTGCAAAATTTTAGGATTTAAAAAAATATGTGTTTAACTGAAAAATAGTTTGGTGAATAAGCAATAAAGTAATCTTATTGAATAATCAATAGCTTCATCAATACAAAATAATTTTCTGGTTTAATTAGATGCTATTTTTGAAATAGCACTTAGAAATAAATGATGAAGTCATTCAATAATTATATATTAATCATTTTCTTCAAAATAATTTAATAATACTTCTTGATAATGCTGTATGATTAAAGAATAAGGTTTTTATGAGTTAGTTCTTTCCAAATTAACCTTCTTTTTTTAGATCTTATTATACGCATTTTGAAGTTCTTAAATGTAGGGATTTTTTTCTTTTGAGTTGCTAAACTTTAAACTTATTCACTTTTATTTCTTCTTTTTTAAGTAACCACCCCATCCTTTTTTTACTTAGCATGAGAATAGTTCTTTTAAAAAATTATGATGATTCGAAAATTATAGGAAATTATTTTTCACATTTTACTTTGGTTTAAACATAATTTATGAAGAATACATAAATGCATATAAACTATAATTTAAAATTTCTTAAAGTGTCGATAAATCTAAAAAAGAAATATCATTAATATTTAATTATCAATTAATTATAATATGGCAGAAAGAATTGTATTTAATAATTAGGCTGCTCAACATATATAAGCATATATTGATTATTGCAATGTAGTTGGTAATAATTAAGGACCGATACTAAAAGGCAAAGAGTATATTTAGAGTCGATTAAATCGATAATTGAGACTGTTAATGTTAATTTATTAATGATTAGGTTTACCTATTTCTTAATTAATATTTATTTATTTGAATAGAATAAATCTATTTTTTATCGTTTTGGCAGAAGTGGAATATGAATATTTTTGTGATTTTAACTGAAGATAAATATTGTCTAAATTTTTTTCTTATTACTGTTTATCCTTCAGCTTGATTCCTTTAAATATCTTTG